AGCTACAACAAAAAATTATAGATATGGATTTCTTTAATTTAGAATTATGTGTTCACAATGCCTTTATTCAAAAAAAAAAATTCATTATCAATAAATTAAATAAGACCAGGACTATGTGGTCTAATGGTATCCGGGGTGGACTTTCAAGTGGAAGGTTGTGATTTCGAGCCTCAGTGGAGGCATTATTGGCTCTTTGTGTTTCAGTAGGTTGAGAAAGTATATGAACAGATACTACAATGTAATAGAGCTAGTAGCATTCAAAAAAAAAATAAGAGAAATAATTGTATTAGTTATATTGTCTTTATTTTTCTACAATATAAAAATTCTTTATATTCAAATTTATTAATTGATTATATTCGCTACATTGTCCTTACAATGTCTTAATACAGTGAAAAAAAAATTATTAATTATCAATAAATTAATTAAGAGAAATATTTTCATTAGTTATATTGTCTTTATTTTTCTTAAATGTAAAAATTTTTACATTCAAATTCATCAATTGATTATATTCACTACATTGTCTATTATCTTTTTTTTTGCACTATTTTTCTAATTAAATATCAAAGTTATAATACAAAATAATGTTATATATTTATTTACCAAGTATTTTATTAATACCATGAAAAAATTAAAAATATATATAATTAATAAAGCCAACCATATTAACTACTTGAGAGATTTTGTGACAAAGAGAGTATTCAAATCACACAACAAATTGAAGTGAGAACTACCTTGCAATGTCCTTGTTTGACAATCAACAGTTAGCGCGCGGATTATATTAGCGGATTTGACCAACGAATTTATTTAATTATTAACATTGGGTAGAAAAATGACCGCCAAATTATTAAATCAAATGAATGGTTCAAATTGTTCAGGTTTTAATTTTTTTTAAAATTTTTCTAATTTATCCTTAATTATATGATTATCCATTTAACTTTTCCGTTAAATAGCGTTAATTCACCGTTAGTCTAATTATAATATTAACGTCTTCATCCCAAATGCTCTGTCGGGCCGGGGTGTGGAAGACCCTTAGGGTTGGGGTTCAGCCTTTTGGAAGAATAATATTAACGTCTAATATAGAATTATAATTACACCATTAATCTAATTCTAATATTAAAGTCTTCATAGAACTTAACCACAAATCCTAATGTCGAAATCTCCTCAAACAATATTAGTATATATTTAATATTTTATGCCCTAATTTTTATTTGTTCTCCCTTATGTCCCGTATTTGGTTTCAACCATACCTATACAATTATTTTATTGACAATTATAATCAATCTTGACTATATTATCTTGCATTTGTAAACTTCGGCGGCGGCAGTGCGGGAATTATGTCCAAAGTGGGCAGATTCCTTGTTCGCACCGGCATTTGGTCCTGTCTGCTGAACCATTGAGTCACCGTGATTTACAACTTCCTACAATGCTCTGTCGGGTCAGAGTGTGGGGGGCCCTTGGGGTAGGGGACTCAACCTTTGGGAGAAGAATTACCTATTTAAATACGCAAATTCAACCTTCAATTATCTATGCATGAACAATTTCAATATAATCTTGCCTTAATATACTTTAAAGTACTTATTTAAAAAAAAAAACATTGGGCATTATCCCAATCGCGTAATGCGCGTAAAAAACTAGTATATATATATATATATATATATGTGTGTGTGTGTGTGTGTGTGTGTGTGTGTGTGTGTGTGTGTATATGTATATATATATATATATATATATATATATATATATATATATATATATATATATATATATTATATGTGCGTGTGTGTGTATATATATATGTGTGTATATATATACACACATATATATATATACACACACACACATATAATATATATATATATATATATATATATATATATATATATATATATATATATATATATATATATGATCGCATTCAGGTGCGAACTGCCCGCTCAAGAGAGAATTGAGAACCATTCAGCGTCGTCCACGTGTCCAGATCAACGAAACAGATGTAATTTTAAAAAAACGACGCAATGACATTTTCATAAATAACTTGAATTTTGGTGCATGTAAATGTGTTATAAGTGCAAGTAGTTGGTGCACTTTTGCATGTAAAAATTACAGGTAAAATCACTTACAAGTGCATCTACATTCACTTACCAGTGCATCTTCATTCACTTACAAGTGCACCTCCATTCACTTACAAGTGCATGTAATTTTACCTTGTTAACGTTCATGCACATAGGTGCAACTACTTATAACTATAGGTGCACCTAGTTATAACGTTTGGTGCATTTAGTTTTGATGCATAGTATAAATTTTACTTGCACCTATAATACATTTTACCTGTACTTGTAATACATTTTATATGCACTGAGGTGCACTATATGAAACTATTACTTGCACTTGTAATACATTTTACTTGCACTTCGATATTCAATTATTTACGAAAATGCCACCGTAATTTTTTTCTAGAGAAAATTTAAAATTTTGAGGATGGACTGTGGGATTTCATCAATTATATTTGTACGAAAAAAAAATCTATTGAAATTCCAATTTGATAGAGTCTAAAAAATAAAAATAAACAAAAATGAAATAAAAATAAAATAAAAAAAGAAGAGTTTTTTCCAAAATGGCCACTCGACTATTTCTTAATGTATATTATGCGTATAATAGGTAAACGGACGAAAATGCCCTCCATTTTAACACTGAGTAGACGAAAAACCTAGCGGGGGATTAAATTGGGTGAGTTTTTGAAAGTCGAGGGACCACATTTGGTGCAATTGAAAGTCAAAATGCAAAATTGAGAATGAGCAATAGTCGATGGACCATTTTGGGAAAAAAACTCTTAACGATTTGATAGAACCCGAGTTGACTGAATGGCACGAGTGGGCAACCATTCGGCAAAACCCGAGTTGACCGAATGGTAGCAGCCCAATGCCACAATCGAGTCGAGCCAATAGTTAGCTAGCAGCGCAAGCCGAGTGGCTCTGCGTTGGAAAAAATCATACGAAACCATTCGGCCAAAACCCGAGTTGACCGAGCCCCATACTCATTTTAAGATTTGGTTTACACCCCCCTTGCATAAGAGAAAAAAACCTCTATACTATATAATTCAATAAGATTTGAAAAGGCTCTTGTATAAATAGTGGTGCAAACCCACTTCCCAATCAATGTGGGACAAAGGCTACTTTAAAGCCTTTCCTCTTCATTTTTCCAACTCAATTGGGTCTACTTTGACAATTAATTTCTCATTCACACATTATATGTTCTGAGCGTACAATATATCAATCTCTTCGTCTCACTAAGAAGAACCCGAATCCACTTTGACCCGACCTAAATCAGAAGTGGACCCTACTATTATTTGTACCACAAAATAGCCACTTAAAATGCCATTTATGCTATTTTTTCCTATAATCACCCACATGAATGAAAAATTGATTTTCGGGGTGTTTTAAAATCAGAAACAACTGTGTTCAACGGTCGATCCCTGCATAGGATATGTAGGTGTTACCCTTTGAACCTTCCCTTGTGAATATATATTTACTCTACTGGTTGTACGGTAGAACGCGATGTCTTTGAACCGACTGCGTTTCTGTATGATATATCCCACATAGGAATCTCCCAACCACGCTCTATTCTCATTATTGTGGCCGTTTTGATCGTGGGTCACCGTTCCTAGTTCTGCAGGAGTTTCTAAAGAATTGAGCCCTATTCAATTCTCCTTTGAAGCGACCCTCACTTTTCTCTCACATAGGTGATTCTTTACCGAGTATCGCGCATACTCACACATGTCAACCGACATTTCGAATCATTAAAGTATCAACGTGCTAACCTCGAACGGGAGTCAATGTTCTAACGAGCAGTGGTAGGGAGTCTGAGACCCGCATAATGACATGCTTGGTTCCATAATTTAGTTGTCCCATTGAACCTAGGTGCCAGCTAGGTTGGGCATACACTATATAACTTTATTTCAAGGGTTTTAAACCCATTCCGCGTGTCTGCAGCTTCTCTACAACTTCTTTGCCTAACCCTTTGGTCAGCGGATCCGCTATATTGTCTTTTGACTTTACGTAGTCAACCGAGATAACACCTGTTGTGAGAAGTTGTCTAATGGTATTATGTCTACGACGTATGTGTCTAGACTATCATTATAAATATGACTTTGTACTCTCCTAATTGTAGCTTGACTATCGCAATGCACACAGATTGAAGGTACAAGTCTTTCTCAACTAGGAATATCCTCGAGAAAATGGCATAGTCATTCAGCCTCTTTGCCTCATAAAGATATATAGAGCTGGCTGAGTTCAGGAAGGCGCGGCCGCGCCTTCCCGTGCGGCACACATTAGTTATGCAAATATACACCATCAACGTTAGAAAATGCACAACAAAAAATGCACAAATTAGATACACATCACCAAAAATACACCATTAGGTATGAATAAAAGCACCACACAGTGTTCGGAAATACACAATTATGGGTGGAGAGTGATATGATGTATTTTTTTTTTTTTTGAGTGTGTTGTGTATTTTTTGGTGTGTTTTTACATTTCATTGTTGTGTATTTTTTTACACTATTGGTGTAATTTTCGAACGGCTGCTTGTGTATTTTTTTACACTATTGGTGTAATTTTCGAACGGCTGCACGGGAGGGCGCGTTTGCATTAGAGCAAACTTCTATATATATAAAGATAAAATTAAAGAGTCTGTACACTTGTTGCATCGGGTAACCAAAAGCTTTGAGAGTTGTACCATATACTATTGTATTGAGTAGATGCTTTTTTGTTGCACCCAAAATAAAAGACATGAGATGAGAAGTTATGTGACAATATGCAGAACATATGTCATGTAGCATTACTAAATACTAACATGACATGATGCCATTAACACAACCAATATATTTATTTCCTTGGCGAAAAGCAGAGAAGAAAATGTGAAGTCATATTTTGTTTCTTTGTTTAACCAAAGATCACATTTTCTTGACTGCAGTGCTGGCTGCATGCAGCTTAAATGAGGAAAGATAAATGAAGATTAAATTATGTTGTATTACATAAGTAGAAGGGAGTACAACATCATCATCATGAAATGCTTACAATCATTCATCTATCTTGGCCCTTAATGCCAAGACCAATCTGTAAAATGGAATCTGCTGTTCAGAATTCAATAGCAGTTTTTACACAGTTGTACATCACAAGAAGGGTGGGGGGTTTGTTTTCACAGATCAAAATCATTCCCCTAACTCACACTCGATCAAAACAATCATTCATCAGCAGACAGTTCTTCCGTAACAAATTGAAGCAATGTAGAGATTTTTTGACCACTTCTCCTGCAAAAGTAGAGTAGCAGCAAAATGAAGGGGAGCAAAAATAACTGCTTGATCTCTACAAAACCAGTGGAACCAGAAATGTTCTGACCTTTACATGTGTACTCGGAAATGCAGATGTTCGCAGGGTCTCCTGAGTCTCGTCCATCATTTTGCGTCTAGGTATACTCAATATGAAAGCTGCTTGATCAGCAGTAGCTGCCATAGACGTTATTCTGTAACCACTCTCCCAGCGTCTATGTATTCCTTCGCTTGGATACAAAAAGTCGAGCTCAACCACCTAGTAGAAACCAAACAGAGATTGATTTTAAAATATTCTTAAGAGGAATAACAAAGCAAGCAAGCAAACTCACCTGCTCAGAATATCCAGCGTTCCTGGACATCACAACGCCCCAACGACTCCCAGCAGTAGTCATGGATGTCACATGGAACCCTTCCTTCCACTTTTTGTTTATCCATTTAAACGGAAACGATTCACTTACTTTGTAAGACTGCTGAGTGTAAGGAGTTCCTAAGCAATTCCAGGAAGTCAGTTGTTAGATGTGAAACACATTTACACACTTTACTTTGACAACATTAATAAGAGACAAGAAAATTGCTGTTTTAATATCCAACCTTTTGACATAACCACCAAAGAACTTCCATTAGCTGCACCAGCTATTGAGCTAATATAAAAGTTTTTTTCCCACTGTTCCATTATCCAATCCTGACAAAAATCCACAAGGTAATCAGCTAGCTGTGTGTATATATACACAAAAGGGGGGAAATGACGGGAATCTCACCTTATGAAGGAAAACAGATGAAAGGTCATAAACTTGGGAAGAGAACCCCGTTCCTGCATCCATGATTAACGCCCAAAGGTTTGCTGCCGAAGCTACACAGCTAATATATAACCCATCTTCATTGCCCTTTTCTACATGCTGTTGGAGCCTAGAGTCCGCAACATTGTAGTGGTATCTAAAAATCCAAAAAATAAATAAAATGTTATCACTTTTCCTTATGAGGGAATAATGATGATTCCCATGCAAATGTTTCCATTTTAAACCCTTTTGTACATACAAGGTATGTATTTGCAAACAAGATCATTTAAGAATATACTGCACATCCATGCTAAAGGAAATGTCATATCTGTAAGTTACCAACAAAGCTGAGAACTAATTACCAACACACACACACACACAAAACTATTTAGACAGACAGCATTAGTTACAAATATTGTGCTGATCAGCATGTCAACATTGTAGTTTACCTCTGCTTCATGGGACGGCGAGCATTATACACTGAAATCCATTGGGTAGCAGGACTACCTAACCGTACTTTCTTCCTTGGTTGTTCATCTTCCTCCAAGTTTATGAGCAGCCTTCCCCGCTTCTGCCCAACCTGAACCCGAAGAGACAAGTAGAGATTAGAGAGCAAATATCTACATCCAAACATTTCAGTACACTTCACCAAATGTATATATGAACCTTAAGAGCTCCATCAATCCTTATTGGCCTAAGTGATGTGCATGGTTCAATAAGACTTTCAAAGAAAGATATAAGCTTTGCATAATTTGGCTCCTCGTCAAACTTCATATTTGTTACAGCTTCAAGAAACTGTTTGAATGGTGCAGGACAAAAGCAACACATCAACTCTGGAGAGGTGGCCATCTTCTTTTTGCAGACAAGGAAACTCTTGTTATCACCCTGATATATTTTATTAAGAAAAAAGAAAACCCAAGAGATCTATTAATCCTTAATTGTCAAAGCAAGCAGTAACAACAATTTATTGAACTAGACCAACCTGATAACCCTGCCATGGCAACCTTCCCTTTATGAGAAATATTAATGTGTATGCCAGTGACTCAAGGTCATCCCTTCTACTTCCTGTCCGGCCTAAATGCGCATGGACGCTTGCATATCTTATTGTCCCCCTGTAAGAGAAAACAGATAAGTGCACTTTCATGCAGGATTATACTATCATAACCATCATACTAAATTTCACAAACCTGAAAATATCAGGCCTTTGGTCATATTCCACATGCTGACCAGAAGCTGAATCTTTCCACCTTGATGCTGAATAAATAAACGTATTAGATACATTTGAACAAAGTGGCACTTGTCAAAGGTGTGATTCAGTCATGCTTATTAAAATTTCAAAATCTCTCTATCTTTGATGCAATATAATAATTGAATGAGAGCAATACAAAAACATCCTACCCAAGCCAAGATCAATAAGATACAGCTTCTTCTCATCAGGTGTTCCTGGCTGACCAAGTAAAAAATTCTCTGGCTTCACATCCCCATGAACAAACCTGATATTGGAATCAGAAATCAATATGAAATAGTTGTATAACACTGCCCAAGAAAATTAATGATAGCTTTTAAGTTTAAAAGGGAAGGAAGGGTGAAAACAGAAAGTAATAAGTACCCACCACTACGGAAAATCAAAAACTTTGCAAGCAAAGTTTAAAAAAAGTAAGTACATAGCAAGAGCAGAGATGAACAAGGACTTACCCCTTCATGTGAAGCTTTTCAAGAATTGATATTGCCTCCACAGCAATACAGGCTACCATATTTGGTGACATACTGTTGCATGAGCTAATCATCATTAAAAGTATACATAAATACGCTGCGTATTCTGGTAAATTATTATGCATTGTGTTATCATTTAGGTCTAGTCTTATGCATTTCCATGTAAAACATCATGCATGAGAAATGAAATGAGAAATAAACAGAACAATCTTACGATTGGCCTAAAGAATTCCAAACGTCCCAAAGACTTGGTCCAAGCATGTCCATAACCTGAAATAGATTGCCAGCAATGTCAGCAATAAGAATATTAAGGAGTTAGTACAACAGTAAATAGTGACACTAACCAGAATGTAAAAATCTCCCTGGCGACCCTTGTAGTGAACCCATGGAATTCCATAGCATCCATTCAGAGTGCTTCAATGAGAAATCAAGCATTTGATCATAAATTAGGCATTTGAAGATCAAAAGATTAACCCGAAGTTTAGACCCTAAAACTAAGATGCTTACTTGTACACCTGCCATTCATACGGAGGGCCATAGTTGCAACCCTTACTATTCCGGTGCTCAAACTTCAATGCAACCTAAAGAAAGAATTATACTGTCATTTATTCCAGTTATTATGTCTTTACTCTCAGAAACATTAATAAAGTGAGAAATATACCTCAACTGCATCCGGTCCTGTTCTCTCTGTGCCACCACTCAATCTCCTGCCAACATAGACTTGGCCAAACCCACCCTTACCTAACTTCCTTTCTGTCTTGTATTGAGGGGAATTGCCCACTTGCACCTGCAACCAGTCATAAAAAGACTCGTAAAAACTCTTTAACTGTAAAAGGAAAACAAATTACAAAAAAGACTCAAACAAAAGGCATAAATAACATTCCTAAAATATTTAAAAGAAAAACAATAATAAATAAATGCATAGGAAAGAGTGCTAGCTATGCAGGGAACTAATCATTATAGCTTTATTTCTATTAATAGCAAAATAACATAAAGGGTAAGAAACAAACAGAAAGATACCTTGTCAGGTACAGGAGTTGTATTTCCTTCTTCTTCAACTCCCACTATTTTATCTGCACTGCCACCATCCATTGCAATATCTTTGTCAGCAGCACCTTCAATTCTATTAAAAGCTGGTTCCCTGACCCCAACTGCAACAGCTTGAGGAGCCTCGAAAGGTGGCTCTGGGTCTAAATCTATCAACCTAACCCCCCTGCCTCTACCAGCAGCAGCTGGCCTCCCACGAACTCCTGTTGAAGGCCCTTTTGCTACAGCCGCTGCATTACCTCTTCCCCTTCCCCCACCACCTCTCCTTCTAGTTCTATTCTGTGTAGGTAATGCCAAGTTCTCTTCTTGTCCTGTGGGTTGAGGGGCAGGCTGGAGATCACCAAGCCGTTTTGATCTCCGTGCTCCACTACGCAACTCTGGCATCGTCACCCATGCAAATCACATTCCACTCTGGTCACTAGCCTTGCCGTCAGAATCTTCTCTAACAAACCTACTAAGCAAGGAGCGCACCATCATAACCTTAGGAGGAAATTATATGCCCAAAAATAGTAAAAATGGCATATTTTAAGCACTGACATTCATGAATGTGAGGTTGCAAAGCAAAACAAAAAATTCCAAAGGCAAAGAGAGCAGTTATCAGTAGACAGATAATTCCAAAAGTGTTCATAGTTCAAAAGCAGTGATATCCTAAGAGGAAAAAACAACAAACATTGAGGCATTAATCCTCCTCTTGGAATATTTTGCTTTAAAACTCAATATTCCACAAATAAATTGACATTTAAAGCTAATGAACATCAGAAACATAACTTTTCAATGTCTGAAAGTTCTCTTCAATAAATGAAATTCATTTTGAATGGAAGTTTGTACTATGTGAAACCGAGTAAGTTACAAAATTAGCAGTTCAACAAAAGAAATCAATTCAACTTAACTTGCAAATAAAAAAAAGGAATAAAATCCATCAAGAAATCCTGATTAACAAAGCAAGGAAATAGAAACTCAAACGGATTAAGAATCTACTAGAAAACAAAAATCTAATCCCAAGTACCGGAGCTTAACATCGCACAAGCTACAAACACACAAGATTCTCCGTACATTCCATTCACACCAGAAAAAGGATAATAAACAAAAAAAAAAAAAAAAAGAAAATCAAGAAAATCAAAGGAAGACAGATCGTACCTCAGAAACCGCAAAAGCCAGAAGATCGGAGAGCAATCCAATGAAAATCAAAACATCGGAAGAACAAATCGATTTCGCCGATCAAACCCAGATCTTCAGCCTACCATTTTCCGGCTCAAAAAACCTGGAAAAAAAAATACACAAAACAAAAAAACGCAGTAAAAATAACAATCTAGAATACCCAAAACCAAGAAGAAGAAAAAAGAAACAGAAAAAGAAACCTTCTTTGTCTGGTCACCTTTATCCTGTGTTGTTTGTTTGGTGATAAGGCGAAGGCTATAATGAAGGAGATGAAGAAGAAACACTGGGTAAAATTCGAAAATCGATGAAAACAGGGACTCCCCTATATAATGTACGTATATATAGTGTGTAAATATTTATATTTATATTATATGGTCATGGTGGATAGATTGTTTGTAAAATGTAAAAATGTGTATTCGGTGGTGTGGTGAGGTGTGTTGGCCCCTCCGCTACACTGATTGTATGGCTCTGTGTCACTTCCTCTCAACTCTCTACTATTTCTAACCCAAACTAATGTTTTACTGCACCGAACATATAATGACTTAATTCTCTTTTTTGCCATAATAAATTTATATATGGTAATTCACTTTTAGTTTTTTTTTTTTTTTAAACATTTCTTTTATCCTTTAATTCTAGTATTATTATAACATGACTATTTTTAATCTTGCATCAATAAAACCGTTTAAATTTTACAAAATACAAGCGCATTTAGATCTTTAATTATTAATTTTTTTCAAAAAAATAGAAATAAAAATATAGCGGATCAACTCAATTTGTATAAAAGATATCAAAATTATCTTGTATTTAACGACATTTCAACAATTTTGTTGATGGATGACCAAAATTGATCATACCACAATAATACTAGGATCAAAAGCGAATGTTCTGAAAAATGATTCAAAGTAAACTGTCACCTATAAATTTAAGATAAAAAATGGAATTAATTATATAATGTTATCATGAATTTAAATTAAAATTAAAAAATATTAAAAATATATATATAATTGGACTTCACATATATTTGATCATTATTATATTTTCATAGCATACAAAATTAAAATTTTGTATAATTAGTGTAATCCATAATTAATTATGACATATTTAAATAAATTTATAAATAAAATTTACATAACCAATTTTGATTTATTCCTATTTGTATTTCATATATATTATTATAATTTTAACAACATGAGCAATAATAAAAGGAATTATATTTAAAAATCAAAAGATGTAAATTTTAAATTTTGTATGAATATATTTAGATACACACACATATCTCTAATAATAAAAGCTAATAAGGGTATGTTTGGTTCATGGATTTACATACCAGGGTCCAGGAATGAGAATCAAAATCATAGTTAGTATTTTGGTTGACAAATTTTAAAAACAAAACTATGGGGTTTTGTTAGGAATAATTGTATTTAGAGCTTGATGAGTCAAAGTGTATTTTAGCTTTAAAAATTAGAAACTCCAAAATTTCGTTATAGAAATGTATTAATGTCTCTGAGGAATTTTTTGAGAAATAGTGTTAGCAAAGCTTGAAGTAGAAGGTGTAAGGTTAAATTCTCACTCATAACAATCGCTTCTATATATTATTATTATTATTATTATTATTATTATTATTATATTAAAGCAAAATAATTGTCTCAAAATCTTTTCCTCCAAATGTGAAAATATTTATTGTATTCATATTAATTTATAAATAGATTCATGTAATTTAACATGTTGAGTAAAAGAAGAATATAATATTAGTTACTATTATTGTTATATATATATATATATATATATATATATATATATATATTACTTCAATATATTCAATACCAATATATATTTTTCTTAATTTTAGTTTTATAATTCACATGTTAATATGTTTGTTATATAACACATATTCATGTATTTCATATTCTATTATAATATAGATTTTCATAAATTTTTACTTTTTGCTAATTTAGGTTACGCGTATACATGCAACAATAAAAAATAAAAAATAAAGCTCAAGTTGATGAATTAAAAAAAAAAAAAAAATCTTTTTTGAGGGTCTTTTTTACTCCATTAAAAACTTTATCGTTGCAACAAATGACATGAGATACAAAACTACGCACCACAGATACAATATCATGTTCATGCATTCTACAAAAGTCTTTCAGTATAACAACGACGACTTTCCAAACATGACATACATGTTGAAAGCTTTCGATCAACTTAGTCCTATCCAAATTAATGCTTCCAAACTATTTAGTAATACTTATATACGGTCCTCATTTCATTTATCATTTCAAGTATATAATATATATATATATATATATATATATATATATATATATATATATATATATATATATATATATAATAGTAGTTATTGTTATGATGATAAATCTCTATAGATTTGGTTGGTTCTGTTGTCTCGATTGAATCTCCACGTACAACCATAATTAATGGACGGGAGACCAAGTTCATCCACTTTGTTCTTCAGGATCATGAGTAAGTCATGTTATATTAATCAACTTTACACTTAATCATGGATTATATGTGTGTTCTTAATGTGTGTACGCCTTATAACAATTTTTTTTTTCTTATTTCAGAGAGAGACGTTTACCTTGCACATTTTGGGAGCAATATGTTGATCAACTATTACAGCATGTCAATTATGACAACCCTAATCCAATTGTTTGACTCATTCAGTTTTGTCGTGCAAAAATGTTCAACATATGAGTGAGTTGCATACGGCTGAAAGTATAACATATTTTAGTTGTGAAACAATGTGCAAAGCCGATGCAGACGTTGGAATACTGGGTGATGTACACACACCGAAATTTTTGAACGACATTAGAGCTTCAGGTGTACCAAACCATTCATTAACTTTAAAAAGGAACAAAAGTGTTGATCCCTAGAATGTCAATGTCACCATCTGATACCAGGTTGCCATTCAAGCTTCAACAAAGACAATTCTCATTGATGTTATCATATGCAATGACTATTAAAAAAAAGTTAAGATCAAACATTATCACATGTAGGATTGTTACTTAAAAAACCAGTTTTTGTGCATGGTCAGTTGTACGTGGTTGCTTCTCGAGTTAACAACCCAGATGGTCTTAAAATATTGATTGCCAAGAACTCAAGTTCCTCTATTACATCAACAACCAACGTGATATACCACGAAGTTTTCAATAATTTGTAATTTTGTCACTCTTATTTTTCTATATTGTATGTTAAAGTAATTTCTTTATTGTTTCTATTTTCTATTTTATATTTCTGTTCCAACTTTTTATATATTACATCATCTCTTAAAATTTTCACATAATTACACAATATTCATCCTGTGCATCGCACGAGTATCATACTAGTTTTAAAGGAGTAGCAAAAGTATTAGCAAGGATGAAAATATCATGTATTGAAAAGAAAAGCATGTCACACTATGTATTGATATTTATTTAGGAAGAAAAGCTACTCTTTATGTATTGAAAAGAAGGGGAGGTCACACTATTTATTAAGAAAGAAAAGCTATTGTCTACGTATTGAAAAGAAGGGGAGGTCACACTATTTATTAAGGAAAAAAAACTACTGTTTATCCAAAAGAAGAGGTCATGCTTTTATGAAGAAAAAGCCACAACTTTAAACAGGAAGAAAAACCACGATTTTTGCAAGAGAAGATCAGCTAAGCTCATGTGTGATCCAAGGAAGTCAAATGAAAAAATTATAAGCTAGAAATTAAAGAGACAATGAAGTTGATCAATTGAGAATTTTTTGAAGACCGTTGGAGGTAGCCATAATCCACCGACAAGCTACAACCACACTAAATCAAGATCGGGAGATTACTTGCAAGATTAGGAAAAAATCTCACAAAGTCAAAAACATTATCTTGACATATGATATTTGCAGCATTAAAAATTCAACACATCAAATCAACTACAATCAGATCAAAGTTCAAATTTTGAATTTGAAATTGTTTATTTCCAACAGACAATTTCAAAACTACAACTATAAAAGGAGATGAAGATGTGAAGGAAGATGAGCCAGAAGTAACAAAGTTTTTACAAGTCTTACAAGAGCATTGCACAAGAGAACAAGAACACAACAACAAAAACAAAAACAAAAACAAAAAATTAGAGAAGAGAGAGAAGAATGCACAACAAGAGAAAATAGAGTGTAACACCCCCGAAATCATACTTACAAGCCTAGTATAAATCATACATTTAAGGATAAGAATTATGACATAAATGCTGGATTAATATAATCAAATCCATACTCTAAACATCAAGGGGAATGATATCGCCGCAACCACCCACACTAAGATGACTACAAGGCTAAACTTACTAGAGTCAATACTCAACATCCAACAAAATAAGGGTTCACAGACTCAGGTGCTCTAGCACCAGCAAAACAAATAGGTAGTCTAAGTTACATCAAGACTAAACCCACAAATATCCAGAATACTTGACATCGGAAGCAGGGCAATGAAAAGGGCTACCTACAAGGAACTATAAATAACAGATATTATCTATTTAGCTCCTCAAGGCACGCTCTCAACAAACATTACTCCAAACCTAAAAGGGGTTATCAAGAAAACACGGAAAACAACCCGTTAGCATATAATGCTAAGTATAAACCACTCAACCCTGTAACATAAGTATAGATATATAGGTTTGGAAAATAGTTTGTTTGACATCAACATATAACACATAGGATCATAGAGATGTAAATCAAGTAATCAATAGAATATAGGTATAGCTAAGCCCACATATATACATATATATAAGTATATAAATCATATGTAGACACAACTCACACTCATGATTATACAATTATCAAATACTCACTAAGTAAATATACATGCATAAATACAATTAAATGAGAATGAGTAAATATGGGTAGTTCATACTAAATAGCACAAGTAAAGAGATAAATATAATGCTAACTTATACTACCATGATAACTAAACTTGAATGATTAAATAGTCACCGCGTTCTAGTTGTATTCATATGAAAATGTAAGCATTATAGTAAAAATGTTTCTCAAATAGTTATGTATATCATTATATCTATACTCTCACCCTCAAGAAAATAGAGTTTCATAATAATACTGGAAGCTGTCTTATGTCATTCTCAATCATTCACGTCTGTTATCATCATTCACGTCTGTTCTCATCATAACAGTGGGGAGTTAGTGTAATACCCACTATCTTAGAAATAAAAATATACCTATGCTATTAAAATAGGTCAACAAGTCAAAGGTTATTAAAATTGATATTGGATGAATTTACTAAATTACCCCTCTTTACCCTTAAAGGTTAAGGAACCACTTTGGTCTTGAATAAACAT